CACACCAACCCCGTCGCGCGCGGCTTCCGCTGGCGGCAGGACCCCCCGGAGGCCCTCATCGCCGGCGGGCTGGCGGGGCACCGGCAGATGATCCGGCAGATGCGGGGGGTCCCGGGGGTCACCCCGGAGCGCCTCGCGGCCGCCGCCAAGGTCCGACACTGCGCGCTCTCCCTCGTCGGGGAGCCGATTATGTATCCGCAAATTAATAAATTTTGCGAGCTCCTGCACGAGGAGGGGATTTCGTCCTTTATGGTCACCAACGCCCAGTTCCCGGAGCAGCTGCGCGCGCTGGTGCCGGTCACGCAGCTCTACCTCTCCGTCGACGCCGCCACCCCGGAGGAGCTCAAGCGCATCGACCGCCCGCTCTTCGAGGACTACTGGGAGCGATGCCTCGCCTGCGTGCGGGAGCTGCGGAAAAAACGACAGCGAACGGTCTTTCGCCTGACTATGGTGAACGCGTACAACAACGAGAACCACGGGGCATACGCGGACCTGGTGGAGATGGCGTGGCCGGACTTTGTCGAGGTGAAGGGGGTGACCTACTGCGGCACAAGCGCGACGAGCACGCTGACGATGAAGGATAATGTCCCACGACACGACGAGGTCATTACGTTTTGTGAACGGCTCTGTGATGAGCTCGCGCGGCGGCGGCCTGGGTATCACTCGCCTTCCATGACGGCGGAGGCCTGCCCATTGACGCCGAATGATGATCCGGAGGTGGTGGTGCTCCCTGCGGGGGCAGAAAATCGACCTTATCATATCGCCTGCGAGCATGAACACAGCTGCTGCGTGCTGATCGCGCTCGATAAGTTTTATTTCAACCAGCGCTGGCATACCTGGATTGACTACGATAAATTTAATAAGCTGGTGAAGGCTTTCGAGGAACGACGAAAGGAACTCGAAGAAAATGGAGAGGGGGAAAATGATATGGACGAGTTCACTTCACTCGATTACGTCGAACCGACGCCGTTGTGGGCAACTTATCAGTCAAAAGAAAGAGGGTTTGATCCAAATCAAACGCGTGTTTTGCGGAAGAATGGAAGGCCTACGATGATTACCTCTGGATGTTGAGGTGGATTGTTTAGTGAATGAGTTCCAACGAGGTGATCTATAGTTTCTTTTTAAATCGTTGACGACCTTGTGAAATAATGATTCTAAAGGATAAGTTCCATAATAGTATATGAATCATTCATATGAGAAGGAGAGAGGGAAAAGGTATATCCGTGCGAACACTGGAAAGAAGTTCTGAGTTTTTCCCCTCGTCATTGTGTTACAGGAGGCGGGGAAAACTATTTTGAATCCTCTGGAAGGATGCCGTCAAACAATGTTCTCTTGTCCTGATGTGTACAAAAACGATGAGTGAAAAAAGGTAACGTCTTTTAAAAAATCCAGATATCTATAGCTTAACTAAAAATGTTTTTTTTTACATTTCCTTGTTTTGGTTTTGGCTGTGAAATTCAGCGGATCTTAATCATCTTATGCTTGTGTAGTAAATAACATCTTAAATAATTACATAGCAGTCTCGCATACTTCTTGAGCGCAACAAGGTAGTGGATAGTTTTCATCTCAATTGAATGCATTCGAGGATTAAACAAATCATTATTCTTTGAAATTTATCTGTAGACCAGACGTCGTTATTTGTACTCTTTTTGTGGTGATCATAATAAATTTCTCTCCTCTTTTTATTATATTTCTTCTCTGTTTAAGCTAGCAGGCAAGTAAACAAATATCAGAAACATTAAGTCAAATCATAAGTTGGTATATAAACATATATTTAGGTATAGATATATCAATATAACTCAACAACAAAAATAACATCTACAAAAAATTCAAGCAGAAGGTATTTATTATATATTTTATTATATATATATTTGTAGGATATATTTTATATCCAGTTTTTATAAAAAAGATCGATTTCTTTGACCTTAGTGTTTTTTTATTGTCTCACCAAAAGTAGTGAATTTTTTATTTGAAGGATTTTCATTTGCTACGCTTCAGTTTTAGCTGCGTTTAAGACTGTATGTATGATTACCTTCGTTTTAATTATTTCCTCACCTCTACTCATTTTCTTTTAGTACAGAAATAATACCTTGAAAAATTTCCCAAGTAACCTTTATTTATTCTAAAAATTAGACTGATAATTATTACAACGGATTCAATCATTTTTGCCTTTTTTTTTCATTGTTAGGGAAAAAAGATTACAACTTAAAGAGTGATCGTTTATTTTATTGTTATCATCAAAAAAAAAGGGTTTGGTTAGTACAACCATTTTTGATAAATTTTTCCTTTTTATATGTATCCATATAAATTTGAATACTAGTAATAGATACACTTTTCTATATTATTCATACCAATATTCCTTATACCCTTCTCATAGCCAAAAAATCCATGTCATCTTATAAGCCTCACCTTAGTTTTTCAAATAAAAATTCCACCAATGTAGCATTTCCAAAATCAGAAATTTATGAGACTAAGACACACGCTTTAAATCGTATGGAAATGGGTTCCGTACCGAGCAATAGGACGAGTTTAGAAACCCAGAACCAAACGAGTTTTAATAACAAATACCCAGCCTTCGAGCGGGGGGCGAAAAGTACGACTTTTCCTGGTACCACCGCACTGAATTCTCCGATGCACAGAAACGATTTTTCCTCCTTGGCGGGCTCTTCTCAGTTAAATACCCAAGCAGAAAAAACGGCCACCCAGCAGATTCTACAAGGTAGTTTTAGCAATACGCGACTGAGTGATATTAATACCACAAAGGATCTAGACGAACCCGCATCCCCGCGCGATCCCATCCTGGGGACCCCCCAGACGCCGGCGGCCGTTCACAATCCGCAGTCCGCGTTGTCCCCCCGGATGTCCTCCCCGAACAATCTGGGCCGCTTCGCGCCCTCGCTTTTGGTCCCCCTCGGCGGCTCCCCCTTGAGCGGACTGGGGGGGAAGAACCCCTCGATGGCCTCGCCCGCGGCGCCCCCAACGCCTCTCAAGGAAAACAGCGCGGAAAAGTCCTCGTCGGAGATGATGGCGCTTAGTTCCGAGATTTATGTCGCCGTGCGGATTCGGCCCGGGGGGAGTTCGGGATCCCCGGGTCCATCGTTCTGTCCTTCCTCCGCGCGGGTCCCGGGGCGTGGGAAGGGGTGCAGGGAGGTTCTCAAACGGGGAAGTATTTCTTTTCGGGATGTGCGCCTTCCCGGGCTCGACGCCGCCTTCTATCAGATGCCTTCCCCAAAGCCATTTCTGACGCCTTTGGTGGCAGAGAACGTCGTGGAGTGCGTGGGGCTCGGCCGATCCGACCCGGATCGGCATTTTGGCGAGATCGAGCAGGGCGTAATCCCCTCCAAAAGCGCCTCGATCGTGCGATTTACCTACCATACCGTGTTTGATGAAAAAAGCACCCAAACCGACATCATGCATGCGATTGGCGAGAAGGCGGTGGATAGGGTGTTGGAGGGCTATCATGGTACGGTATTAGGCTACGGGCAGAGCGGGAGCGGGAAGACCTACAGCCTCATCGGCCCTCAGGGCGGGAAACTCTACACCCACGATCTTTCCCAAATTCTAAAACCGAATTCGGCGCATCCGTTTACCTTTGAGTCCGTCAAAGATGGTGAAAATAAGCCGGACGAGCGGGACTATGAGTTTGTGGAATCGGTCGGGATGCTTCCGCGTATGCTGTTCAGGCTTTTTCAGGGATTAGAAGCAACCACACCCATGAATGATAAGGATAACGGGAATGATCGCGAAGGGACCTCGTGGTCCGTCTTCCTCAACGCCGTTGAGCTTTACAACGAGGAGCTTCACGATTTAATCCCGCACACGATTTCAACAAACAATTATACGCGCCATTCCAGAGGTGAGCGGACCCCGAAAACCCCTCCAAAGGCTGGAAGGGAAGATGTAAATGCCGGTTTCGTTCTCGCTCAGGCAAACCATTGCGAGAATAGGACCAAAAATGAAAAAACAACTCCGCGTAGTTCGTCTTTGGGGGCGTTGGGGAGTCCTTTTGCGGGGGAGATCTCAACACGGCAAAGCCCACAACCCACGCGAGTAAGCCTCTACGGTAACTCCAGCCTCGTCTCTTCCCCTCCCAGCCACGATAGCGATCGGCAGCGGGTTGATTCCACCGTCGGCGTAAAAACAAAACGGAAAAAGGAAAAGAACGAAAAAGGAGGCGGCGAAAGAGACTTTTCCCGATCGGAAATGATTTATGTGCAAAGGGGATGTACGCCTCAGCGAGAGGACACCCCAGCGGCTGACCTTCTCACTCATTCTTTCCATTTCAATTCTTCCCATAGTACGCCGTCAACCTTTACGAGCCCGCGGCCTTCGCTATCGCGTTCTTTACGAAGTAATCCAAATCGAAAACCCATATTGACGAATAGCATGAAGACGAATCGAAATTTTGGCCTCCAATCGCCCTCGCCACTGCGCATTCGCGATCTTGTCAGCAAAGGAAATGGTTCGAGCCATCGCGGAAAGCAACCCTCCACCCCCATCTCCACGCCTTGCCTTTCTATCGCGATTGAGGGCCTTCGCACCCATCCGGTGCGGAACTTCGAGGAGGCGATGGCGGTTGTTTTTCGTGCGCTTTTAGAGCGAAAAATGGCCTATACGCGGCTGAATATCAACAGCAATCGCGCCCACACGCTTTTTTTTATCCACGTCGTGCGAAAAAACCCCTCGGGGGCGGGCGTCAAACACGCCATTCTCACGTTGGTAGATTTGGCAGGGTCGGAGCGGGTGAGCCAGACGGGGGCGGAGGGCATTCGATTGCGCGAGGCGCGTAAAATCAACCTTTCGCTGCTCCTTCTCGGGAATGTCATTCGCTGTTTAAGTCAACAACAACAACATCGGCCGCATTTATCCTCTTCTCGGCAATCTTCTCTCTCACAGCTGGAGTATATTCCCTACCGGAGTAGTAATCTCACGCGGCTTTTAAAAGACAGCTTTGGCGGGAATGCGATTACGTTTTTGTTGTGTACGATTTCGCCCGACCCGGCGGATCGTCCGGAGAGTTTATCCACCCTTCACTTTGCAAGCCTCGCACGGCATATTCGAAACAGGCCGGTTTTAAATACCACACAAGGCCAGGGGGCGGCCGAGGAGGTCGCCGAGGAGAATGAGCGGCTACGCGCGCAATTAAAAGAGGCTCAGGAGTATATCGCGTGGTTGAAAGCGCGAGCCAATTCCAGTTTAGAACATCACGGATGGAATCAGTTGGATCTCACCCACCCTAAACTAATTTTTTCACCCGCGGTTAACTCCATTGATAATTCCATTGAGCCTTGCCCCGAAAGGATTAGCCATCCAGAATCCCAAGCCGCTTCGGATAATTTAGAGCGTGATTCCTGCGCGATGAATCTTTTACATTTCATGGATAAAGCGGCTTCCTATGAAGGCATCCATAACAAAGAGTTTGAAAAAGGGGAAATGAAAATGGCCGAGAAGGTGGACTATCCGATGCAGGGTGTATTGCCAACTCTAGGGGGGATTGGAGCGGATCGTTTGGTAGGCAAGATTAAAGAATGCACCTGCTCGTGTCTTGAAAATGGTGCTGGGCGATCCTTGTCATTTTTTTCCCCTCAACGAGTCAATTCTGCAGGTTTCATAAAGGAAGAAGTTGTAACGAATGAAGATTTAGAAAAAGAAGCTGATGGTGAAGATACTATGGCACACACAGAACAAACGAAAATCAGTTCCGAAGATATTCTTGGAATTCCCAATAATACCCTTCCGACCGCTTTCATCGTTCAAAATGTCTACGGCGTTTTGAGATTTATTCGAAGTTTATATTTTTTTGTCGAACGTATTCCATCCATTACGCGGGCGTCCACTAAAACGATAAACGCACAGAATCGGTGTGAATTGAATGAAAAAACGCTTTCCAAGCCCTCTTCCCTAAGGTGTAATATTTCCATGCCCATCCACCGCTACGTTATATCTTCCATCGCGCGGTATTTCGAAGCTTCAAATTACTCTTCGAAACCCCAAGGATCAAAGATCATTTGTGATAATAATAATAACAATAGTTCTCCTCATGCGAGCGCGGACGATTATTTAGTCTCCGCGCTGAATCAGTGCTTTGAATTAAAGCTTCTGGGCTACATGGATGCGGATAGACCGGTATGGGGAAATTATCCCACGAGTTCGTTTATTCAGAGTGATTTCAAGGGGATAATATTGGGTCACAAACAAGATCAGCGAATGTGGGTCAAGCAACTTTTCCATGGTTTACAACTCGCCGCGGCGATAACAACGAATGGTAGGGAGATCATGCCGCTATAAAGGTGGAGAAACAAAAGGTTGTAAAAATCCTGATTCTTTCTGGGAAATTTATTTCCTTCTATTATAAACTCACAATACAAGCTAAGGAATGACCTGTTGGGACAGTATTGTAAAACTAAAGAACATGAAAAAAAGTATATCAACAACTTTTAGTTGTTGTTTTTTCTATTATTTATACTTTATACCCTTCTAGAGCTCACCCTTAGCTTTTGTGATATTAAATGTTCAATGTACTTTTACTCAATTACTATATGTATTATTGGAGATCCAAAATACTTTTATTTATTTTGGTTGTCATTATAAGCTGATCATTTATTCAGTATTTATTTACTTAGTAGAATGGACCTCTTTTACTTTAGTAAAACCTTTTGTGCCATAAATAGTGCATGTTTCCTATGAAAATATTTCTTGGTATGAGTTTTTTTTCATTCCTTTTTTTTCTATCACAGATATTGAATTTAAAGGATCTGCGAGAATATAAGCTAATATCAGCAGTTGTTATAAAACTAATTTTCTTCCAAAATGCAATCACAATGTTTCTTTGTTTACGTGCTTTTTACTCAAAAATATCAGATTGTAGTAAACAAGTGACATTTCTATCTTGATAAAAAAGTGATACATGTGAACAGTGCTTGGAAAGCGTAGTAGGTTAAATTATAATAAAAAAGAATAGCTCAATGCCAAGGAAAGCGAACGAAAAACAAAGGCTTCGAAACAAAGTTATATAGATATTTGATGTTATTGTATTTCGTTAACTGTTACGCTGCCATCGCGATTAAGTTGATTTTTATTTCAATTTGCGACATTAAGTTTTTTTTCATTAATACCTTAGTCTCCACCATCTTGGAACAAGGTAAAAGGGAAAAAATAACCTAATTGTGACTTTTTAAAGTGTAATAAATTTAATGTTTTTTTTTTTTGTATATCTAATGTAGTTTATTGATTAATTCGCTTTATTTTCCCTTATTTCTTTTAGGGGCTGTGGGTGGCTGCTTTAGTATTGCATGCATATTCCCTAAAAGGTGATTTCTTTTTCCTTTTTAAAAGGGGGAACACCTTAAAATAGGCAATCGGCGGCCTTTAATACGGCAAAAGACCGATCTACTTTTATCCACCAGAGTATCGTTACAAATCGTTCGAAATGATTCGCCAATTATGTGGAAAGTCACACACTCCAGTTCGATCACTGGGGGGATTCCGTTTCCCGTCCCCCCGCCGCTGTGCCGTTGCTCTAAAACACAGTCCCGTGGGCTCGCCATCTTTCCCCTGCCGTTCCTACCGAAGTCCCCTCCCCCCTTTCCCTTTGGGGGCGTTTACCGGCCCGGGGGGCCTTCCCTTTCGGGCCCTCCCCGCTCTCGCGTTCGTGCCCCGCACCACCCCCGTCTCGGGCGTGGCGAAGCGGTTTAAAAGCGGCCCACCCAACACCAAGGACGACAAGGAGGAGGGGGGGGTGCCACACCGGGAGGGTCCCGCGGATGGAACCGCAACCCCCCCTTCTCAGCGTAACCCGACTGAGGGCTGTGACAATGCGGACCAACGTCACACGGACGGGAGTCCTCACGGCGCTCCCTCGCACTCTGGGTTTGACGGGGGGGCGGGCCATCCTTACGGCGAGGACGACTACGAGACGTACGCCCCCTCGCTGCGCGTGGCTCAGACACCCTCCGCTGTGGAGCTGCCGGAGTCGACTTTCTTGAAGTGCCTCGCGAAGGAGATGGACGACGAGCGGCTGCGACTGGAGAAGGATGAGGGGCCGCCGCCAGCCCCGACCGGATGGGAGCTTTGCCACGTTGCTGGGACGTCGTTTATCTACGGCCGCCGCCGCTGGGAGCCGCTGCGCGGGGTGGACGAGCCGACGGCCAGTGCATGGCGCCGCGCCGACGAGGATAGGCCCACTACGGTCCCAACGACTCCAAGAACGCGACGGCAACGGCACGCGGAGCGGCACTTTGTCCGCGTGCAGCTCACTACACGAGACCCCTCGCTCGACCCCGAGTGCGATATCCGCGGCGAGCACGTGCCTTTTTCTTTTTTTGTCCAGCGCATTCCATTCGATGAGGAGAAGGAGGAGGGGGATTACAACAGCCGCAATGGCGATCACCAAAGGGATTTGGTACTATCCACAGACAAATCCTCCCCAGCTTCGTCGGCTTATTCCTCAACATTTAACGAGGAGGATGAGCTTTCTATATATCGCAATAGCATCGAGGTACGTCTAGACGTCATTGAAGGTGAGCTTGTCGTGGATAACCTCGTTTTCCACGGGGCTTACTCTGTCAAAGGAAAAGAAAAAGGAGGAGATCATGATAATAGCGACCCAGATCAGGAAAAAGATCTGCGGGTGATGTATAACAATCCCTTTGGTGGCTATTCAGGGCCTAATCTTGACGAAGCCGAGGATGAAGTTTTAGATGGGATTCAAGCCTGGCTGGCGGAGCGACATATCGACGATCAATTTGGTGAGTTTATCGGTCAATATTCTGTGTGGATTGAGCAAATGGAGTACGAAAGATGGCTCCAACAGTTCTATGACTACGTGGCTGCGTGAGAAAGAAACGCTAAGTCTTTTTTTCCTTACCATTATTTGCTTTGGAGGGAATAAATAGAATACAACATTTTCTCATTTATAGTTATACGTTTAGCACAGTATTTGCAGTTTAAAAAACTGCATGACGAGTGAGCAAGAAGAGGAAAAGAGAAGAAAGAAAAACATGATTATGTTGAACATGGCAGTGGGAAGCTTGAGATTGATATATTTTCATTTAATGAAATTCTTATCGTCTTAGTCCAGTATGAAAACTAAAGGAATGAAACAGAAATACATCCAAAGATGGTGTTTCTCCACGTCATTTGACAATAAAATTTTCAGTAGAAGTGTTATGAGTATTAAGCTAAAAAAAAAGTGATGGTAAATTTCCAGTCTCTGTTGACCTGAGGGCGACTCTTTTTTTCCACTGCCCTCTCTCTAGCAACTTGAACACACATATATATATATAACCTTTCTTAGCGTAAAGAAAGAAGAAAAAGACACACAGAAAAAGGATCTGATCTCATTTCCAAGCTTTCATAAATTATTCTGTAACAAAGTGTTATGCCGTCCAAAGTTCCATCACTGCCTCACCCGGATCCGCTGACGTTAGAGCAGATCTATGACTGCCTTACTTCGCGCGAGAGCTCGCTATCGGAGAAAGCCTATCACCTCGTTGCTCTTCATTCTGTTGCCTTCAACCCCACGGTAAAGCTTTTTCTATTTGAGGAGCCTTCTTTAAACATGGTAAAAAATACTACTGAACGCGAAGGAGCTTCGACGACGGTGCATTTTACACATCGGCGGCGGGAGCGTTTACTCCAAAGCGTTGCTGCCTTTCTCGCGCAGCGAAATAACGCGATTTGTGAGGAATGCCAATGGGAAACGGTCTCCCTGCTTGGTGAGCTTTGCCGAATGGAAATAATTAATAATCATAGTGGTGGTGGAGCTTTACTGCCCTCCGTAGCGTTAAAACTGAATGCGTACGCCAAGATGAATTTGGAGTATCTTGTGCTGCTGCCGTGGTTCATTCCGGCGGTTCACTCGATCATGGGAAGCGATGCCGTGGCCAAATTTGAGGCCGAGGAGGCCCGTCAAGAGCGAAAAGATAATAACGATAAGGAAAAGGATGCAAATCCTTTTAGGGATGAAAAGGGCCTCGCCGGTAGTCAAAGCGTTCTAACCACCACTACGACAACCTCTTCCTCTACGGGATTAACGAACACGCATGGTGAGCTTAAAAGACGTCTACATGAAAGGCAAAAATTCAAGCAGCTGTCGAAAACATCCGAAAACAACGCACCTCAGTCGGTAGTGGATCCAGACGTGGTGATCGTTCTGCAGGATATTCTTTGTGCGCTTCCTAAGGTTTGCACCTCCAACACCGAAAATACTAACAAGAATACTACTACGATTATTACGGAAAAAGAAGGAAGTGAAGGAACTTTTAGTTCGGTCTTATCTTCATCGGAGGGGAATGGCGGGCAAAGCCCTCAGCCTATATTTAAATGGACGAAGCGCAACTACCGCAATGCTGAAAGCATGGTATGGGGTAAGAATGCCGGCTGTGTGCTGTTTGATGAGAACTGCGTTATTAACGGTGTGTCGCAGGTGCCGGCGATGTTCTGTGACCGTAAAATTCCTTCAAACAGTAAGTACAAGTGCACATCAGACCGGATGGGTATTGGAGACTGCTTAATGACCTATTATAAAAACTTGCCATCATATTTGCAGTACTTCCCCGATACGACAATGGGTAGCTTTGAAAACTTTATGGATTACTGCCCATATATAAAGGCATATTCAAACACTATGTGTTTAAATGGGGATACAAGAATACTGCCCGGTTCTGTGTTTTCAGAATCTGCGCGATGTTTTTCAGCCGTCCCAAACACTCCCCTCAGAATAAACTATCGCCAAAATATGCACTCTATCTGCGCAGACGTGCAATGCTATAGGGCCACCTCTAAGTACCGGGTGCGCGTGAAGGGCGCCAGTGATTTCGTGGACTGCCCACCCGGAATTACCCTTGTGGTTACGAAGTACAGTACAGAATTTATGTCTGGCGGAATTGAGTGTGCACCATATGAGGAGGTGTGCCATGAAAACCGTAACCCTGAAAATCATAATGATGATTCAGATCATGAAGGTAATCAAGAAAGTGTCGACCTAACCAATAACGTAACCCATGACGTAAACAATCACAAAAGCAGTGAAGAACGTGGTTACCAAAACAATGATGTTACTAATTACGAAAACAAAAACGTTGATAACATCGAAAGCAGCAGTGCTACATCTGGTACGATTAAGGTCGCGTATTACTTGACTTACACGCTTGTAGCGATTTTGTCAGCTATGATTGGTCTTTTGATTTATACCTGGCGCTAGCGTGCGTGAAAAGGGTAAACCACAGGAAACATGTACCAGATAGGGATGTAGAACGCTAGAATTGAGGCAGGTGAACTATAAACTAACTCCTGATAGTTTCTTTTTTTTTTTGAATTTTTTCTTTTGTTTATCATTTTATTAAGCAGACAAATCTTCTTTTCTTTATATATATATAATTTGTCTTCTTTTTTTTTCAAACGTACGAAAGGTATTCTTTCCAATCGGCGTGTAAATTTTAAATTATGCTTCATTAGGAGTAGGGAAACCACCGACTGGGTCGGTTTAAATGCGTATACACTCATCACTAACAAATACTGAAGGAAAGGTGTGAAACCAAAGGACTAAGTGGGGTGGACACTCGCTGATTAGATGTAGTATAACGAGTACAACGGTGCCGAGGTAAACACCTCGATACGCTGTTCACGTTTTTGCAGTAAGTAAGTCAAATTCTTTCTACTGTTTAAATCAATAAAAAATTATCACTTTAAATTAATAGCACGTGAGTATATC